CAACTGGCCAACAGCCTCTTACCCCGCATGAAGTCGTCAAGCAAAAGTCTCAAGGGAGATGTCCTGCAGCATATCGCTTCACTCGGGCCAATCTGGAGCGGACCGACGAAGCAAAAAATTGTTTAACTAAGGCGGTGAAGAGGATGAAGAAGTGGGTAGACGAGAAGAGGAGGGCAGTAGATTTCGAAGTGGGTGACAAAGTGATGCTGAAATTGACCCCACCAATCTGGAACAAGATCTCTCGGAAGTCTGCACACAAGGGATTAATCCAGCGTTATGACGGCCCTTTCCTAATAACAATGAGGATTGGTAGGTTGGCCTATAGGCTGGATCTTCCTAGTCGTCTCAAGCTTCATCCAGTTTTCCATGTTGCCTTCTTAAAGCCGTATGTTGAGGACCCAGAGGACCCTAATAGGTACGTTCAGCGTCGGGCTCCTCCAACAATCAGGAAACAATTCACAGAAATAGCTGAAGCTATCCTTGACCACAAGACTGAGGGAATGAGTAAGAAAAATAGAAGAACTCATTACCTAGTCAAGTGGAAAGGGAAAGCACCGGAGGAAGCCACTTGGGAGAAAGAGACGACATTGTGGCAGTTCGAGGATCTCATCAGGCAATACCATGCCTCCATTCCAACGAGGTCGTTGGATACTTCAGGTGGGGGTGGCTTGTCACACCCTAATTGACTTGGGTGCAAATGGCCGGTCTTGGTGGCACCTTGCACCAAGGCATGCTAGAAATCGGAATCAAGGTGATGCGGCTAAGTGGTTTGACAGATTGGGACGAACCATGGCAGCATGAGACCACCAGGTTGAGCATGACAGCATGGGTGGGCTCAATTGAAGCAATGTGGGTGCAGAGCTTCGGATTGCATGGCATAGGTTGAACCCAACATGCACATTGGTTCGTGTAGCAAGGTTGACTGCTGAATATGGGCACCTGACTGGCACATGGCTGCTCAATGCATGTGACCAGGAGGATGTGGGCGGTTATGATGCTAAGACTCAGTCAAGGCAGTTGCTGAGGCAATTCTGGACGTCCCCAGTCTGAATCCAGTCTAGATGCATGCTGATGAAGGGCAGTTCCACAGTAGTTACTGGAAGTGGTCGAACTGTCTGCCAGGTGTTGCACAGAGATCAAGCCTGTTAGCCCAGGATGCTATGGAATAGCAAAAACTTGGGTAACTACCCCTTGGCAGATGGGGGTGTCATCTGCCTTCCTCTTGTATAAATAGGGGTGCTTGAGCATTCTGGGAAGCAAAGAGTGTTCTGCCTTTGAGAATCCTTGTAAATTGTTGAGTTCAATATATAAAGTTTGAGAGTGTTGTCCCAGTAAATTCGTGTGTGCCTTCTGTGTGAGTTTCTGTCCCTTATTCTTGAGTTTTAGTGTGGCTGGTTGCAATAGCAACGCCTTCACAGGTAGCCTCAAAAGAAAAACGAAAGTTACCCTGTGACAATAACAATGATGGATGAAGGATGTACCATAGTAATGAGTCAGTTACGAAGGTAATGAAATATTTACAATATTACTTGTAAGATTTACAACAATAATGGATACAATAACAAAGATAATAGTATTCATACAAAGTCAGTGGAACCAAGTACAACGGTAATGACGTATTTATAACATCAGTAAGAATGAGATAAGTACAAAAGTAAAGATATATTTACAACAAAAGTGAAAAAATTTACGAGGATAGCATACTCGTAGTCAATGTAATGAATGATCGATCAATGTAATATATGATCGATTATAACATTAATCGATCGAATAAATGTATGATCGATTATTATGTGGTAAGATATTATGTAAGAAAATGGAATATTTTGAAAAAAAATAAATTAATATAAAATTTGACCGATCACGAATATGAATGATCGATCATATTAACTAAATAAGCTGTTTTTATAAAATCATTGCGAGGTTAACGAAATTAGTGAGCAAAGTACAAAATGAATGATATAATTACAATAAGAGTGAGAAATTTTGAAAATCAGTGGAACCAACTACAAAGGTAATGGAGTATTTACTACATCAGTAAGAAAATGTGCAATAGTAATTGGGATATGTACAAAATTAAAGATATATTTACAACCATAGTGCATAAATTTACGAGGATAATGTACTTGTAGTCAACGTAATGGATCGATCAATGTAATATATGATTGATCTGTAACGGCCTGATTTTTCTTCTTTTCTTTTCAAAGACGTTAATTAATATACAAACACCCAAATAAAAATAACATAGCGCTAACTGTCCCAATAAAATTTTATTTATCAAAATCATCTCCCAATACAAATAAATCTGTCAATATTAACAAACCTCCCAATACGATTAAAACATCAATTATATCGACATTTCCTCGTCTTTAATACTCTAATTATCTCATTCCGATATTTTTTCTAAAATCAACCTGAAAATATTAAATAAAGTGGAGAAGTATACAATATGACAAGGAAAAATGTGCTCAAGGACATTAAATATCAAATAATCGAGTATCACAAAGTATCTTAATCAACAAATACAAATATCATATTTGCATATCACATGTCATGCAGAATCTTAACAAAGATCCGACACCTCACCAATCGTCCCACCTCAACCTCGATCTCACAGGTCTCTTGGCTGGCAATGCATCGGCTATTGGCTGCCACGATCTCGTCTCAATATCCGCAGAACACGATCAATGAAATCAAAATATTCAACGATATTCTATCGAAATTCTAAAATAATGATAGCACAAGTTGAAATACAAATCAGAGGATAATCAAAAAAATACTCTTTGCAAAGAGATTTAAGGAGAGCATATTGCATATCACCCCGTATCTCAGAATCATTATTTGAATTCGATAACTCAGCTAACTGTTTTATTCTTCTTACTTCCGGCTAGGCCTCTGCTTCCCAGTTTTCTCTTATTTGTTTCAGCCAGACAACTCCCTCTCTTTGTCTCTCTCTCTCTCTGTGTGTTTATCTTTCTAGACCTACTCCACTTTCTTTTGTTTTTGGCTATCTTTATATGCTATGAAGGTGGGACGTCTTCTGCCAAATTAGTTGGCAAGTGATGAAACAAATCTTTCCCAAGACTTTTTATGCGATGTATTCTATGCTAGCTACAATCCCTTTATTTTGTACCTTTCTTTATTCTTTCTCTCTTTCTTTTTCTTTAACTTGTCTTGTATCTTTTCTTTTTTTCAAAGTTTGCACGTGGGTGAAGACCAAAGCATCATAAAAGTTAAGATATTTATACTTTGCTCCCATTTATTTCACTTATTATATATATCAACTACAAAACTTAAATATTCCTTATACTTTCACATCAAAACTCATAATATATTATACTTTAACTATTTCTAAAAATTTGGGATCTCATAAGATGATTATATTTTGATCGATCAAATGAACATATGATCGATCAATATGTGTTAAGCAGTGGTGTAAGAAAAAAGAATTTTTGGAAAAAAAAATAAAAAAATAAATAATTTGACCGATCAAGAATATGAATGATCGATCATATTGGCTTAATAAGGTGTTTTTACAAAATCATTGCAAGGTTAACGATATTAGTGGGCAAAGTACAAAATGAATGTTAAAATTACGACAAGAGTGAGAAATTTTGAACATGATTGGAACCAATTACAAAGGGAATGGAGTATTTACTACATCAGTGAGAAATGTACAATAGTCATGGGACTAAGTACAAAATTAAAGGTATATTTACAATGAAATTGAATAAATTTACAAGGTTAACATATTCGTAGTCAACGAAATTAATGATCGATCAAAGTAATAAATGATCAATCATTTGATATTGATAGATTGAATAAATGTATGATCGATCAGTATGTGGTAAGTTGTAGTGTAAAAAAAAAGTACTTGAATTTGATCGATCAAATGTATAAGGTGATCAATCATATTGTTACAGGTCTGTAGTTTGAATCAGAAGTAATAAAAGTACTGTGGATGATTGATCCATCGTGTAAAAAATAAGATAGATCATTTAGTAGTAAGTGAATTTGATCGATCAAAAAATACATTTGATTGATCATATTGTTGCAGACTTAAAATGTGAATCAGAAGTAATAAATTACTAGAGAGAGATGATCGATCATTAAAAAATTTGATCGATCGAATTAGTAAGTAAATTCGATCGATCAAAAATATATATTGATCGATCATGTTATAGCAGATTTGCAATGTGAATCAGAAGTAATAAAAGTACTGGGAGATTTGATCGATCGTGTAAAAAAATAGGATAGATCAGTAAGTAGTAAGTGAATTCGGTCGATCAAAACTATATATTGATCGATCAAATTGTTGCTGATTTCTAGTGTGTATCAGAAGTAAAAAAAAAATACTAGGGAGATTTAATCGATCATTTAAAAAAATGATAGATCAATAAGTAGTAAGTTAAATTGATAGATCAAAACTTTATATTGATTTGTCATACTGTTGCAGATCATAAATAATGGGGAAATTTGATCGATCAAATATGTGTAATGATTGATCATTGAGTTACAGATGTAAAAGTTGAAGGGGCAAGTAGGATTGCTATTGATCGAAAATAAATATGATAGATCAATTATGATGTATTTATTTAAATTCCCTCAAAGAGTAATTAATTGAAGTGTTGTAAGGGGGGCTCTGTAGTAAATAAACATCGTATAATACCCAAATAAATCCCCAAATCCTACAAAATTAGCCCTAAATCACTTGCGCCTACAAAAGAGCCATTAAAAACCCATTCCAAATCCTACAAAAAAACCTATTCCAAATCCATTTCCAAATCCCACAAAACCCATTCAAAATATCCCAATTCCACAAACCCTAATCGCCCACCACCCGAAATTCCTTTCATGTGATCGCATACACAAATGCGATTGCCTAAACAAACTACTTTCATTGTGAATCTTTCATTCGAAGAAGAGTGAAATTTCCATCATGAATGTTCGTTGTGAATATTTGTTGAAAAAGAGTGAAGTTTCCCTTTGGAGCTTTGTTCATGTCAGGCGGAGAGACGAAGAAATGGAAGAAGGTGGTTAGCAGGGGACGTTTTGGTAATGCAAAACTCTTTGTGGATAAAGATGCTAAGAAGAGGTATGATACATTCATTGTTAAACGTCCTCTGCTACTTGAGCGTGGTGTTTCCCTTGATGAGCTAGTAGGTAGTGTGGATTGCCTTAAAATATTTTGGGCTCGAAAATGGGATCCTCTATTTGAAGTGAATGTGGAAAATAAAGCATACGTTGATCTGGTTAAGTTTTTTTTATGCAAATGTTCATGAGTACAAGGAGAATGATATGACATTAATTCATTGGTTAGAAAGAAATTCATCACTGTTTCGCCTAATCTTATTTCAAATACTTTAAAATTGATAGACCAAACATTCCTAAGAATTCCATTGTCTTTCCATATTCAAGTAAGGAGCAAGTTCTCGAAATGGCGATGGTTATTCGAGGTATTTGCATTGGGAGTGTCCCTTGGGAGAATGAGAAAAACAAAATTGCTCACATTGACCTTATTCCAACGTATAGGATGCTAAACTAAATTGTTGCCTGTAATATACATCAGAGGAGGCATACTACTGAGATTGGATACGATACGTCCCAACTATTATATGCTATTGGTGAACGTGGGGTTATTATTGATCAACCCTTTTTACATATTCAACCATGTTCACGATGCATCTAAACTCGAGGATTGCAGGCCATGTCTTCCATTTCCAATATTAATTTCCAAGATTTTGAAGAATAGTGGGGGTTGAATTTTAGCAGAATGGTAGTTTTATGTATCCCATGAATGCAATGGATATTGGTACACTTAATAAAAGTGTGGGAGCTATTTTGGGTGTGAAACGAGCCAAGCGTGTGAAGCAACCATCAGTGTTGTCTTAGGTTGTCGGTAGTCAAGCTAGGGGTAGTCAAAGTGGTTCTAATGTTGGTACTTGTGAGGTTAGACAAACACTTCAGCAAATGGTTGAAAAGTTGGAGGCCCGATTTGAAAAGTTCAAGGATGAAATGAAGGGGTCGTTACAGCGTCTGGAGACAAAATTAGATTGTTTTTGTAAGGACTTTAAAGAGCACATCAACAAATGACACATTGGTTTTGTGTTTTTGGTGAATCTTTTGATGTATAGTAATATTTGGCATTTTGGCAAGGGTGTTGTAGATGTTGGGTGCATGGTTGTTAAATATATTGGCTAGTAGTTAGAAACAAATTGATGATTGATGGTTTTTTAGTTTTGTTATGGTGAATGTGTGGTTTGCACGTTCTGTTATGTTTATTTGATTTAACAATGACGTAATGCAAAGGATGCAGATAAATTGTACTTCTGCAAATTAGGTGGGATTAATTGTAACAACATAATTACATGTTTAGACATGCTTCCTTCATTTTTTCATTGTCATGTATACAGGAAAGATAGCGCAGTGAAGTTGAACCTTCCATGCAACTTAAGAAAACTGCATTGTGTGGTCAACTGCTGTAGACCAAAAGGGTGATTATCCCAGAATATTCCAGTGGCCAGATGTGTACATGTTAACACTACAAGAAGTATTTAGTGCAGTATGCTAATGAAATCGTGGAATAGTTTGTACCAAATAACTGAAGGCAATGACAACGCACATGTAATCGTACTCACCTCCAAAATGTTTAAAGAAGTATTAATCTACTGCTCGTGCACATTGAAACAAAAGAAGGGATCACTTGCTGTTAAAAAATATAAAAAATGGATATCAAAACCATGTTGGTATGTACTGAATTTTTCAAAGTAATTAAAGGGTGATAATGTATGAAACTTGATATTAGAGGACATTGTAATTGTAAGTAGGATTCTTCTTGAGTTGATGGCATGGGATGTTGGGAGCCACCAGGTTTATGAGAAGGGCATGTCATCACGTGGGTCATCTGCATGGCATGTATGCTACAGACACTTACGAATAGTATGTCCAGTGCCACGACATTGACCACATTGTTGCGAAGCTATTGGTAGGTTCTTTCGTACACAGCCCGGATTGCCTTTAGTTGTCACTGTCTTGGGATAGACGACACCAAATTATATGTTCAACACAGTGTCATTATCTTTGTCATGTGATGCTGACACCTATCTTGCCTCGCGTGTATCGTGACGTTGTTTCATGCGGTTGGTTACTTCAGTTATTGTTGTTCGAAGCTCTTGTGCGTCTTCAGGCAATTATGTTGCGTTGTAACACATCCGGCTACACATTGACATTAATCTACCATATCGGTAAGAAATTGGTATGGTTCTTGATGTTTGAGGCACAGAGGTCTGTGGGCAAGTTGATTTTGCAGTAATTGTCCATCGGTTTAGAATAGTACTAGGAGGGAACTCTGTTATGTGTTCAGTTTTCAAAACTATAATGATGTGTGAACAAGGAAATCCAACAGATTGTAATTTCAAGCAATTGCATTTGATGGTGTGATTCTGATAATCATATATCACATTCCAATTGGATGTTGTTTTTTTGTACTTCGACAGATAATAACTCGAATGACTACTGTGCTTAATTTTTTGGACCACGAAGAAGAGTCCTTTGGCTTTATATGATCCTGCACTTTAAAAAAAAATTGACCTAGTATAAATTGACATAGCGTGCTGCTCTAAGCAGCGTAGTGAAGTGGTCAGCACTGGCGTACTATTTTCAGAATAATGGTTGTCATAGGCTTCGGTCTCTCGGATTCTTGATACACCCGTATCATATTGTCTAACAAACTCATACAAACGAAGCCTTATTTTTAGGAAACGATTCAAGTAACCATTCAAGCTGTCTGAGCGTTGCGTGTTTTTGATGTCGCCAAAGAAATGACCCCGCAAGAATGCTTCAGCCCATTTCGAATGCTTTGCGTACACATCTGATATCCAGTTGTTATCCTCCAGCCCAAATGAATGTACCATTAATTCCCACAAAACGTCAAATTCCTCAGGTGTACATCGGGAGCACATACATTTCTTGAACTTGCGAAGAAAATTTTCAGCATGAATATTTTGAAGCTCATTTCTCTCTAAATGCCAGCTGCATAGTTTGTGTTTTGCATGTGGAAAAATTCTTTCGATTGTGGCGGCCATGACCTTGTCCCAATCGGTGACAACTGATATAGACTTTTTATTACCCATTGCATCAAGAAATGTCTCCAACACCCACACATATGTGTCCATGATCTCATATGAAAGTACTGCACATCCAAAAATGCAAGTAGCATTATGGTTATTTACACCTGCAAGTATGACAAATGACTTTTTGTATGCATTGGTGCGGTATGTTGTATTGAATACTAAAACATCACTGAAACATGAATAGTTAACACGGGAAATTGAAAGCACCCAAAAGAGGCAAGTCAATGAATTATCATCATCAACGTTGTACCTGAAATAGAATAATGGGTCTAACTCTTCTTTCGCGCTCAAGTATGCTAGTGCACCTTCAACATTCCCATTGATCATTTCATTTCTTCTTTGGTTTGCAACAACATTGTACAAATCCTTTCGCGTAAAGCCAATATTTTGGTAGTCGCCAACTTGATGTAACAAAAAATCTCGTATTTGGCTAGTGTGTATTCCAACACTGCGAAGTGCTGTTGCTTGCTCTATGTCTGGGATTTTCACACGGTGGTGTGATCGAAGGCACGGCACACACTCGGTGGAACCAACGGATAATTATGATCATTCACGAACTCCTTTACTACCCATTTTTCCAACTTACTGTCATACTTAACTCGAAATACTGTCAAACAACCAACTTGAGTTATTCCCCTTGGTTCCAGTGCCTTGTCATCTTGGTCTAAGTATTTTGCAGTTCGAAACCCTTGTCACGAACATACCCACTTCCTTGACACCGGGACGTGGTTTTTGTGATATTTTAAGTCATCTTTCCTAACACTGAAAGCTACAAACTTAGCGTATGTGTTATAAAAATTACCCGCTTCAACTTCCGAGTTAAACTTCACTTGCAAGACTTCTTCAATCGAGAACTGTTGTAAAGTTTTTTCCAGTTCGAGGGGTTGCGAAGTAGCCGAAGTTGGTTTATCATGACGATGCCCATATTCACCATTACATGTGCCAAACTCATAAATTTCACTATCTTCAGGTGCTTCATTCAAGTCTATAACAACATGTTTTCCTTTCTCAAAGCTACTACGAGTCATTTTATGTGTGAAACCTAAAATACACATTTATTATTATTATTATTATTTTGCAAATATTGAAAATTATGGGTTACAATACTAAGAAAAAATTGTTGGTGGACATACCTTTAAAAATAATTCAATTACTATAACGAAAACATAATCAAACATTATTCTAATGTATTCAAAATAAATGGCATTCAAAATAGTGGGTATCATGTATGACAAACCTGTTGAATTTCCTTTCCTCTCATGCAGATGTAGATATTGAAGCAAGTAGGTGTTGTTGGAGTTGGTTTATGGTAATTCAAGTACACATGATTAATACAAAAATTTGCTACCAAATCGTAATTACAAGTAGGTGAGGCCCATTAAATTCAGGCTGGTATTTGGTGGGTAGTTGTTATTAATATGCAATAAATAACAATCAAGGTTGTATGCCTTTTCATCAGATTTGTAAACTATTTACCACATTTGAGTTCAAATACACTCATAACAGTTGTAAATATTATGGGTGTCACTAATTACAATTTATATATAATTTTTTTTTTGGTGGCATTCCAAAAAAAAAACATTCTTGATAACATTTTAATATTAATTATTAATTTATTATTATAATAATTTTATTAAATGGTCAGACGAGTATTAACAGGGTTGACAGGAATCACCCGAAAATTCACCGTTTAATAAATGTGTATACCGGGTTAACCCGTTTACCACAGGAACTCGTTAGGATATCATATGAAAACCCGCTTAATTCTCGTCGTTTAATCATGTCGTACATGTGTTGCACATCCTAGTAAGTCTGTTAACAAATTAGTTTTCATATATATACCTATTGGGTTGGATTAGTTCATACTTTTTTTTTATGGTTCCAATTTTGTTTCTTTTTTATTCAATTAGTCTAATTAATTTAATGCCAATTATTTTTTTTTTGGATGAATTAAATTACATGTTATGTTAGTTGAAATATAGTAATATTTTATTTAAATTTTTAAAATCGATGGAATATAATAAAAAAAAATTATATTGCGTCGATTTATCACCCCATTTATGAAATTTAAACAAACAAAACACCCAAAATAATCTCATATTCAAAATTCAAACAGGGCAGCTTTAAAAATAAATCCTACGGTCTCAAATAATTTCATCCAACGGTTAAGAATTTAACATTTTACTATTCTTTAATACTTTCCCCCCAACTTCCATCACATCAAATTTTCTCTCACCCCCACAAACGTCTTCCCTCTCTTTCTCTCCACCATCCCCCCTCCTAAGTATCTTTCTCTCTCTTAACCCATGATCTGTCATCACCATAGCCCCACACCACTATCACAGCCACCTCCCCTTAATCCTCTCCCCTCACCACTTCAACCCACTTCGGAGACCCACTGACAGACCCATTC